GAGGGACTATTTAAGAGCACCTATATTAACGTTAGGGACCATGAGTGATACAAAAAAACTTTAAGGATGCAATCTAATAGTTTAGCAAACGTGAGGGACGTTTTGTGATAAAAAGCCTAAAAAAAATATACTTGGTCTCAATTAGTACATAACTTTCACTCTATACTTGAGTATTACAGGATGAACTATAAAAAAATTGGGTGTTAAAGTTAGAGTAGAAAGAAAAACTTTCGTCACCTTTTCAACTTATATATATATAGTTACATACATATCGAAAATATCATATTTCCCCTCTGTAACCACCAGATCCAAAATAATCCCTTCTAGAGCTGGAAATTGCCATTCTTTTCTGATGCTCCAGTTTGGGGCAGTCATGGATACGATGACCAAGCCCGCCACAATAAACGCAGCCCTTAACCCCGCTCGCATTTGTAATTGCATCCGCATTTAATTCCATTGGATCATTAAGCTGAGCCAACACGGGTGGAATCCTTTGTTTTGCCTCTTGCAAGAGGTGCTTCAAATCAAGAAGTGTCGTCTCACTTTGATTTTTGTTTATAAACGTTGTTGCTATTCCAGTCTTGCCACATCTTCCCGTTCGTCCAATCCTGTGGATATAGTCTTCAATCTGTGCTGGCATGTCATAATTGATGACATGTTGAATATCCGGAAAATCCAAACCCTTTGAGACAACACCAGTGGCAACCATGACATCTTTCTTCCCTTTCTTGAAGGAAGAAATGGCATCCTCTCTTTCTTTCTGATCCATCCCTGCATGAATGCCCACTGCATCAACTCCTTTTATCAGAAGATATATATGAATGTCATCCACATCAGCTTTGTTTTCACAGAATATTATAACAGGTGGTGCGGTCTTTTGTAAACATTCAAGAAGGTAAACAAACTTGGCCTCTTGCTTCACATACTCAACCTCCTGAATTACACCCAAATTTGCAGCTCCAGGTCTTCCCACGTTCACGGTGGCGGGTTTTACCAAAGCGTTTTTAGCAAAGTTGAGAACTTTTGTGGGCATGGTGGCTGAAAATAAGAGAGTTTGTCTTTGAGATTTAAAGTGGTCAAAAACGTGTCTTATGTCATCCTCAAAGCCCATATCTACCAATCTATCAGCCTCATCCAAAGTTAAATATGTGCAATTATTGAGATTCATTTTTTTCTTTGCAAGCATGTCTTTCAATCTCCCAGGAGTAGCAACAACTATATGAACACCTTCCTTGATAATGTCCAATTGCGAACGCATATCCACTCCACCGATACAGAGCAAAGGCCTTATCTTTGGATATCCAGCCTGTCTCATAGGAACCAGATACTCTTCCACCACTTCATAAATCTGCTTTGCGAGCTCCCTTGATGGGCAAATGATCAATCCAAAAGGCCCTTGACCAGGAACAATTGGCATCCTAATTTCCTCTTGCAATGCAACCATAATCAATGGCAGCACAAAAACCAATGTCTTTCCTGAGCCAGTAGACGCAACACCAATCATATCCCTCCTGGATAAAATGACCGGAAGACCTTGCACCTGAATGGGGGTCGGCTGGACAATACCCTTGGCCTTCAAAGTCTTCAAAATCGGTTCAGGAAATCTCATGTCCTTGAAATTCTTAATAGGTGGTGGAACGTCTTCACCACTAACTTGGATATGCCACTGCTTTCGAATCAAATCACATTGCTTCATTGGCATCCTTCTTATATGCAATGGGGGCTTCCAACCTGTTGGTATAGGGTCGGTATAAGTGATTCCCTTTGCCAATTCACCAACTGACATTAGTGTTTTGCGATCAGATAAGTTGTCAATAATCTCTTTCTCTTGTTGCACCATCTGCTGGATTGGAGTAATCTTGGGAGCCTCATGCTTCATCTCTAATGATTTAACAAGGAGACTAGGTCTGCTTGGTTTGTCTTCAGCAACAATATTTGATTTTGTCGACTGTGCTTTAACAAGGAGACTAGGGTTTGGCTGAGCAGCTAGCTTTAACTTGTCTGACTTCTCTTCAAGCGCGAAAGACTTTATCTTGCGTTGAAGAATCTTATGAGCTTCCATTGCTCGCCGCTTCGCCACTGGAACATACTCAACATAATCATCTTGTTTTTCCATGGTTCTTTTTATTTGTTTTGATACAACTTCCCTGAGGCACAATCTAAAACTAGGCCTTTATATAGGAATCAAATTATAATCCAATTCCTAATAGGAATTGGAAATTTTGATTATGATCCAAATCCTACTAGGAATTAAAAATTAATGTGCAGAAATTTAAGGATAAATCCTAATCAACTAGGGAAAATGAAACAAAATATTTCCTTTTGGCAAAAGAAATTAAATTAAATATAAATTCTAATTTATATAAATATCACCATATCCACGCCCCAGCAATCTCGCTTCATCAAAAAAGCGCCTCTATCTCCAATCCAATCCCCACATTACTCCCGTTGCATCCCCCAAATGAACGGCGCCGTTTCAGCTCTCAAGCCACGCACAAAAGGGCCTCAAACGGCAAGTCCCTTCACGTCGTTCCCACAAACCACAACTCGGAGGTCCTCCAAGTGCAGGACCTGATCATGTCGTCTTCTTCTTCTTCTTTTTCCTCCAAGAAGCGCCGTGTCTACGGCGGCAAGGCCTCCTTCATGACCTGGAGGATGCATGACGTCCTACACGTGGACAAGCACCATTGGATACCCTGCGTCTTCGCAATGGGCCTCCTCTTCTTCATGGGCGTCGAGTACACGCTGTGAAAGGTGCCCTCGTTGTCTCCGCCCTTCGATGTCGGCTTCGTCACCACGCGCTCCCTCCACCTCCTCTTGGCCTCCAAGCCCAAGCTTAACACCTTGCTCGCTGGTATTAACACGGTACTAATTTAATTCTAATTGCATTCTAATTATCTTTTAAAGAAAAAAATGATTATAATTTTTTAAATTAATTCCTTCAATTGACATTGTTTTTGTATTTTTTCCCCCCCTTTCTTGTTCTGGGTTTGTTTTGTCAGTTGTATGGAGAGGTTTTGTAGTGATTTGTGAATTTTACTATTTTGGCACTTTTGGGCAATTGGGTTTTTGTCATTTTAGAAAAAAAAACATCACATTTCTGACAGAGGCTGCATTTAATTTTCTTTGTACCAATTTTTTTCCATAACAGGTTGTTAAATCAACATAATGATCAAGATCCCACTTCCAAACCAATTAAATGCATTCTACAGGAGCGTGGCGCAAGAGGTCCGACCTAATCAAATGTGCATTGAAAAATATTTATCTGAAGGATTACAAAACAGTCTTAAAACTATGTACAATAATCAGAAGAGATATATAATACGAAGTGTATAACTCAGTAGATTTATTTCAAAACATGGGGAAGAATTCAGACACATATATAGAAATACGAGAATCAATACGTATGTCTAAACATAATGTGTAATGAAAAATTCAGACACGAAACTGGGTAAGGTGTAAGCTGGGGAATCTTGCAACTAGAGTTATATATGGCTTCACAAGTTATTATTAAGTTTTCAAATTAGAACATTCAATCCAAAATCAATCGGCAATAGGAGGCCCATATTTCACGGCTTCAGCTTGAAGCAAATCTTTGAACACAGTTGATTCGTTAAGGAATACACTTAAGAAAAAGGAAATCAAAACACTAGGGTAGGGTTGGGCATCTCAACTGAAAAATCCGTGTACCGACT